CTTGATTTAAAACCATTATTGCTTTTATTTTTGGTTTTCGAAAGGTCATTCGAAATATTCCATACTTTGTATGTCAGATTTTTTTTATTCTAATTAACTCCATACTATACGTAACAGTTGCCTTGAAGAAAAGGTAAACCAAATTTTTTAGTTCATCAATTTTCAGCTAGCCTTAACCATAAGGTAGATAATAAAAAAATGTGTGGAGTCATCTTTCTATTTTATAAGACATAAGTTGAATAGAACCTGACCATAGACATTTGGGACGCGAAATGTCGCAAGAAGATGAGGAACAATGTGATAGCTATAAGAAGTGCAACATTCGGGGCTCTGTTAAAAAAATTTTCAAGCGCTTATCAAAGAAAGTGGTTATTGAAAAGATTTCGTAGACTACAAACATAAATGTCAAGGACATTCTGGAGGAGCCTTTTCACTGAAGTCCACATCAAGATTATTTGACGTTATGAGCCATGAGTCCTACAAAAAGCATGTAATGCTGACAATCCTCAGACACAGGTTAGCGACGTAATTCTCCTAGGACGTCGATCGTCTAAATTTTGTGGCTTTCCGGAGATTATAAGAGAGACTTTGCGTTTTCCCATTTAAGACGTTGACTTTGAACAATTTGCGATAATTGCCGTGTGGTTTAGTCGCAGGATGATTTCCTAGCAACCATGTTAAATGGCGATGCCAATGGACTGAATTAAGGACGAATCGTTTCCAGATGCATCATTTATTTATATTTATTCCTAGCCACTTGACGTTTCTCAGTATGTAATCTTGTAGAATGAGGACACATGTAATGTCTAACCATGTGTTTAACTTGTTTGTTTTACCGATCAACAATAATATTGGATGGATATTTGTTCAAAAATTCATATAAGTAAAATTGGATGCCAGTCGGATATCAGATGGGCTTGTGGTGCTTCTAACCTGCAGAGCATCCGAAGTTTCGTCAATATTCAGCTCCTATAGTGGGCAGTTGTGAGAAGTCAACTCAGCTGAACACCCACTAAAAATAAACGAAGTGTGAGAGTCAGATGACGCTTTCAGTCTTCATTAGAGACTGCAACTTCTTTAGAAGGAGTGGCTACAAGATAGGATGATATTTGTCTCCAAACTCTTTTCATTGAGGAAAAAGAGACCAATCGACTTGTCAAGAATGTAAAAGCCGGGACTTAGCAACTACTGATCAACGGCCGTCATCGCCATTTCTGGCCGGCTTTGTTAGTATACCGTTTCGGCTCTTTCGTTAACTGTAACTGGTAAGCCGCATTGCTATATTTTGGAGCGGAGAGCATATAGGCACCAACACCTACATTTCAGGTGTTGGCCTTGAGACTGATTCCGTTGTAATCGATATGAGCAACTTTCGGTTGACCTGAGAAAATTAATATAAATCTCACGGAGGGAACTGAAGTGCGCAAAAACGTACTGCGCATTCCAAGTAGTCCATATTGCTGTGATTTACTTGGAACATTTTTGTTGAGATATCTGGTGACGGAGGGGAACATTGATGGGTACTCACACGTAAGGTCTTAAGCGTTTTCATAGTGAGCATGTTAATAATCACTGGCGGAAAGGATGTCGACGTAGTGTTTGAAGGAGTCGCTGGCTGTTGGATAGTAAAAGACGACAAATCACATGAGTCGTAATCTTTGAGTCTATCGATGTGACTAGTTAGTTTATCAAAAGATGCTGGTGTTGACTTATATTTGCTACATATGAATTCGAAGTTTGTCAAACCACCTCTCGTAGAAACTTCCGTAAAAACCCATGAGAAAGGAGCCCATGGATCTTCTGAGTTGCGATGCTGTCTGGTCGAGAAGTCCCACCTTAGTAAAAAGTTTGCGCAATAGCTATGTGTTGCATTAAGGCATCTTTTAATTTTATATGAATTGTTTGGTGAATGAGATATAAAGGATCTTTGATTTTGACGCAGGATAGAACTGATGCAACCATACTACATCGGAGCTCACGGGTTATGCGACGATCATTTAAAGTAGTTTTCATTTGCCTTAACCTTGGGTCGTTGAAAATAAACAAGGCTTGTTTGACAGGAACGGAGCTGACATAATGCGTTGACGTTCCTATTGTTGTCAGACATAATACAATGCACATTTACGGGTAGTCGCAGGTTGTGTGGGCGACGAATAGACTGACCTAACAAATTCTTAACCAAATTTCCTTACACCTTGTGTAACACGCAAGAGCTAAAAGAAATTAAGGAAAATAAAGCACTTTCCCATCTAAGGTTTTTGAAGTCCTCTTCAACATCAGTTCACGTTTTGAACCAAGGGACCTGATAATAAGTGGTATGTTGCAAAATGAGTTCATTCGTTACTCAGACGAACCTATCTTTTGGAAGATTGGACGAACTATGAAAACTCACGGAGATTTGGATTCGCTTAGAAAATTTTAAAACAGTGGAATGATGGATGATCTATCAAAACCATAGGATATTGCAAGATGAAGATTCTTTGGACTGAATTACTGCCCTTAGTCAACACATATACATATAAATAGAGTTGTACAGTAGAAACGATTAGACAAAACAAATAATGCCCACCGAAGCCAAAGTTTCGCTCCGAGGTAAAAAAATGTGGAAATTTCAAATATGTTTGATGTGTACATAAGCTGTCTCATTACTGCTTTTTGTATACAGCTGCCATTGCCTATCTTTGGGAAGCGAGTTACTGTAAAGTTAGGTTCAAGAAAACAGTCTAGAGGGTGACAGTAACTGGCAACGTCAAGATTTGTTGTATTTTGTCTCCCCCCTATTCTTCTATAAAAGCAATATAACACGAGCTATTACTGCCGTTTTACTAAGGATGTTACACCCATGAAAACGATGTGGGTACGTCCATCTCTAAGGTCACAGTTTAAATTTTAGTTTACCCATGATGCAAATATATTAAGAATAGCAAAACTTTCTTTGGGTTTAAAAAATGATTTCATTGATGTATATTTATTTTTGCATGATTTTAATTCAACCAAAATTGTAAGCAGGTTGCTGTTTAGAATGGAAATGAAGTCTCATTTCATTTACGTGCGTTTATAAAATTAACACTAATACCTCCTTTTTCTATTCAATATATACCATGATGTTTACATATTTGACTTAGACTCGTGGCATTGCGAATATATACGGATTCTGTACATTTTCAATTACAAATCATTTAGAAGGAACCATACTGTTTGTAGAAATCTTTATTTTGAAACTAACAGTCTCCAATAAACATTTAATTTTCGACACTGATTGGGTCTTGATTTTTGGAGGATCATTTTCATTATGGAAAGTGCCGCAGTATCTGACTTATCTAAGGATAGCAAGTGGAATATGAATTTACCATATATTTTTCAGGCGCGCAATCGTCTCGAATCCGATCTGTTGGATGCTATGATGTGCATTGAGGATCTTAAACAAGCACTGGAAATCCGAATGGCAAGAGTACGTTTAAATTTATTTATGAACACCAAACTTAACAATAAATACATTGTTCTGAACAATGTCATTCCAGGGCTTCATTAAATATGGTACATACGCACAAAAGGATGCTTTTGCTTTTCGCCTGCATTCATGCTGCAAGTATTTTATTAGCTACGTTAGTATGCAGAATAATCAATGTCTCTCAGCAAATAAGGCTTAGGAGATGGAACAAGTTTATCAGTCCTCAGTGGCTACATAGAAGGACAATCAACGTTTGGGATAGCTCAAACAGACCAACAGACCGATCTGATTCTGCGTGCCCAGTCTGCAGATTTATCTCGACAAACGTACGAGTGAATAACTGTGTGAGGATACTTTTGTATTTCAAGTTAAAAATTGTCAAATATGTAAATCGGATTTTTCATCTTCATTTTCGTAAAAAGCTTTCGATTAAGTTTTCTGATCGCTGTGGAAGCCTATTGTATTGCATTATCAGAAACGATACGCATGCAATAATGATTATTTTAAACTACCGAGAGTTCTTACTGATGACTTCCCTTTGCATCATAATTATTAAAGGGAATTGTTGACTGGTCAACGCTAGACAAGCTAAATTAGCAGACTTAAGGACTTTTGTTCCACTACTTAAGCTATTTAAATATAAATATAAAAACGGTTGCTACCCGAAAATTAAACAGAAAGCAAATGGAACTGTCAGACCCTCTGCTAGATTGACCCTATGAATAAAGGAGAAAAAATGGTGGACAATGACATAGCAATCAAGCAATCTCAAAACTAAGAGGCTCAGGATCGCTTCTATTTCCAGATTCTAAAGAACTTTGTTCATTGAATAGATGCACAACATGTTTTGAAATCCACGGATTCGTCACGACTGGTATACGTCAACACATACGCCAAAAATGTGCACTATAGTCTTCTTTGCGTCGGTTGGTGGTTCGCCCGCACAGTTTATCACGTTTTTCTATGCGACCACTTGCCAACGCTGCGGCCAAATAGTGAAACGTCGCCTACCCTCCATCTAAGCAACTATTCCAGCCTATAGCTAATAACGCAAAACTGAATGGCAGAAGGTTCGTTCTAATGTTCGGTGACCAAAGAGCCCGAGGTTACTGCTGGCTGACGAGGGCACTTAAGTCATAAATTGTCATTCCAGCCTTGCTGGTCTTTGTCGGTTTTCCTGCATCAATAGTCGGCCATAAATCCATGAACTGGCCCTATGTTTGCTTCAGGAAGTTTCAGAACCATTCTTTCAGGATGCAACTGATGAAGCGGAACTGCTTTGCATCTAGCTCGTTCTCTATTACTTCACAAATCGTATTCTAAAAACAACCTTGACTCAAGATGACCACTCTTAGGCGCTGGGTGCGATGAATGGCAAATGAAGCTGTTCCGAATACGCGTACCACATGCGACCTAATCCCTAATCTTATAATTCTAGGTTTTACTCGAGGGTCTTGGATCTAACGCAAGCAAGATTTGTTGATTTTTAATTTGCCCAGAAGTGTATTGCTAACTCGTAGTAAATTAGTCAGAATTAAGGTTTTTAGTCACCTACCGAAAGCTGCTATGGAGATTTGGGCCAAAATCTCTCAGACCCATTAGGATAACCGCGTTATTTTCATTAAACTCCTAATACGCAGTCAGTTGTATATATAGAATTTGCATGATACTAACTGTCCTATCAATATTGTGTATCATGTAACCCCATTATAGAATATTGGTTATCTCTCGGCAGTTAGGTGAGTATGACGCGGTTTTCACGGTGTGGCTCGCGGACGTTGACCCAGATATT